AGACATTAAAAACCACATTGAAATTTATACTTTTAAATTTTTTTTTTTGTCCCCAAACAGCTCGGGGTGACTGTAAAAATATAGAGAATGAGCTTCTGGATCTTTACAACTGCTTTAGGTTCCCAAACTTCCACGCTGGCCCTTAGAAAACACACATCTGTTGTTTTCAGACACGCAAAACGACAGCAAAAACGAGAGCGAGAATTAAAAATAACGACCGCCTTTAGAATATTATCATCAGATTTTCATTTTACACCTCCATCAACCAATCAGTTTTTCCCCACTTAAACTGTTAAAGCATTGGACAATATGTTCCGCTAGGTTTCATTCATTCATTCCATCCACACCTAATGGCAATGGCATTGTGGGGGCACGCCCCCCACTTTGGAAACCTCTGCATTAAACATTTGTATTGAATGTATACATCTGTGTAACCCTATAAAACCATCATCACATTTGCTACACCAGATTTAGAGAGAAAAACTGCCTCGATTGTTTTTATGTTTTCAAAATGTTATGGGCAACATTTGTTTTTATTTCTAAAAAAAAACAAACATTATGTACAAAAAGTTGCGCAAAACGATACATTCAAAAAAATCTTCAAAAAAATTTTGTAGCAGTTTTTGTATATTGTTATAATGTTTAATAAACATCTCAGTTCCAAAAATTTTTAATTTTCTGTTTTTTTTTTATATGTCAGGTTAATATGTTAAAACGATTGCGCAGCACTGTTTAAATATATATATATATAGATATATGTCATCTTTACAACTTTATTGACTTTTTTCTAGTTTTTAAAAATAACGGGAGAAAAACCGATGTCGACTCACCTCTGCAGTTGAATACGTAACGTGACCATGTGGTACACCTCCATCAACATGTCTGCGACTGTAGCCTCCGGAGCGTCCGTCAGGAAGTGGATGGGTAGAGGGTTCCATCGTCCAACTTTGATGATGCCTGGTGAAAAATATCAAACTTTATGATCCTTTTCTGAACACTATGGAAAACAAAAGTATCGCTTCAGGGATGAGTATCGAGAGAGAGAGAGCATTTCTCACATCTTTCCAGCATTTCAGACTGGAAACTACCTAAATTTTCCTTCTTTTCTTTTTTTTCTTGACTAAGTGGCCCTGGCCTGCGTCGCTGCTTGTGCTCACCTGGTGACCCCAAACCCAAACTGACACCACACTGGGTTATTTGGTGAGGCGGGTCAAGTGGTGGTTAAGTGGTGAAATGACTGGAAGCAATTAAACAGCGATGGCGGTTGAAGGTGAATCAGCCTGATCCTATAACAGCTGACAGGTTACAGAAACGGAGAAAAAAAAAAACATTTAACGCCACTTGATTGTGCTCTTTACGTGACCCTACGCGAATGATTTATTTACGATCGGGCCCGTTGCTGTTAAGCCTTTGTGTCATTTAGTCACAAATGACATGACTTTAAAGAGAAGAAACTCAAACTTTGTGACATCAGAGGTTGTGCGTTTTTTTGTGTCCCCTTGTTTATTTGGGTTTTTTTTAAAAGTTCTCTTTGATACTGCTGTCAAATTCAATCACAGTGGAGGAGTTTAACAAAACGCCACTGTATATGAAAGAACAAGCTGTAGTTTAGACTGAGGCTGACTGGTGCACTGTAGGTGTTCCGGCCTCAGGACTTGACAGTACTGGTCTGATCTAGAAATCCATTTTTCCGAGATGAATGGAAAAAAGGGTGATAAGGTCAAAGGAATGTATTTTTCAATGACTGGTTCTCACAAAAAAAAGAGAACTGTGTTTGCGTGTGTGTTTTCTGTGTCACTTCAAAACTGTGTAAGTCCTAAGATTCGAGATTCAAGATCTGCTCAAATTCTTTCGGAGTTTCTGAAAGCTCACAAACACACAGTGAAATTCACAAGTGTGAGCGCAATCACGTATGCACACACAGCCTCACATTCTTCATAAGGAATGACTGGAGTTGTGAAAACTAAACAAAGCTAATCACATTACTATTCTCTAAACGAGATCCAGACGCACCTCTCTCTTCCCCCCTTGCCCCCCCCCCATCCAGACGCACCTCTCTCTTCCCCCCTCGCCCCCCCCACCCTTTCTCTCTCTCTTCACTGTCCTGATCTCTGCTTCCATCTCTCCTTCCCTCTTATTTTTTTTAAACAAAAACGTCGTTATGTCTTCCTTCCACACAAACCCCTCATATCTCTGATTCCAGTCAGACTGTGTTCTGAATTATCTGCTCGTAGCAGCAGCATCATTTAAGCCATGAGGACTAGAGCTGGACTTTAAAGGGGGAGGGAGGGGGGGGGGGGGGGGGGGCGGGGGCAGAGTAGTGGAGGGAGAGGTAGAAAGAGACCACCGCCAAAGACCACAACAGAACCTAGCACTGTTTCAAGAGCGACGCTCATCTTTTTTTTTCTTCTTCATTCATGTCCATGTTTATAAATCGTGTGTACTGTGGACAGAAGTGCACCAATTTAAAAGTACACACTGACGTAGAGCTGTTATGAAACAGTGATACGTCAGAGTAAAACATAGGTTCAATTGTAAAATCACTTTATTGAAATGTTTTATTTTTATTTTATTTTTTGTATTTCTTTAAGAACAATACAGATGATTTTATATTCTTATATATAGAATATAAAAATACACAATGTATGTATATATTTTTTTAACTAACTAGTTTGTGCCTGGAATGTTACTTAAATTCTTTATTGGAATAAAAAATGAAATTAATCACACTGCGTTTAAAGCTCAACTGTATTTTTTTCCTTTTAATTAATTTATGTTATTCAAAATCTATTTTGGGTTATAAAGCATAAAATGTAATTTATAAAGTTGTTTTTTTAGTTTCAGTCGCTTAATGCATTCAATTAATAGGAAATAATCGTAATGATGTTAAGGTGATAAGTTAAAAAATAATTTAGTTATTGTTGAATTTACTATCATTAAAATAAATAATTTCATCAAAACATGAACTCCAAGAAAATAAAATAAATAAATATCAGCCATAAAATACAACATATTTCAGCATAAATAATACAAAAAAATAAAAATCCATCCATATGTGTCAAGATGTTGGCAATTTAATTCACATAACTGTTTTTGAAGATATAAAATTGAAGTTTCACAATAAAAGTTAATTATCACCAAATTGAAGACTAACATGTTTTTCTACATGTGTAAGTGAGGTAATTAAAAATAATACTAATTGCATAATAACATGAATTTTGATGGCACAAACAATCTTTCTTTGTTTTCGTAAATGCATCTCCAAAGAGCGGGGAAATAAAAGGGAGATTAGAGAAAACAAAGAGACCACCCTGACTCTCTGGTTCTCACACACAAACACAGAAACATTTCTTCTGTCTCCTTTCATCCTGCACGAGTCTGTCACCGACGCCTGAATAAGCAAACAAACACGCACAAACTGTCAGTGGTCACATGGCCGTAAACAGCTCACTGACGTACGTTGACGAAGTTGTTGCGGCTCACACGCTCACAGTGCGCCACAGGTGAATGAATAAATAATCATTCATTCGTTTCCAGTGCGATACTCAGTGCTACTCCTGTTCTCGTCCTCGTGTACACAGAAGTGGAAAAGCTTGTTTCCCATTCCCACATCAAAATTCCACAGAAAAACCAACAGTTTTCCACCTCACACTGACCTGCTTTCATGTGGCCGCGCTGGGGCTCGTCTAACGTCGAGGATGTTCCACCGCACCCATGTGAAAACTACACAGAAAAACTCCCTGAATACTCTCGTTTGCAGTAGTTTGCACAACGTGCACGCACCAATGTGTGTCTATTCACGACCAGTACCTCGACTAAACATACACTATTTGCCAAAATAATTTATTATGCAAGTTACTTTAATCTGTCTCCTTTGATTCACTTTTAAGTCAGCGTTTACTTATCTTTAACCAATCGGGTTTTTTTTAAATAGTTTTTATTCATATGGCTAACCTTTTTAGAATTTCTGTCTGGGTTTAGGGTTTTATCTAACAAATAACAGTACGAGCAATTCTTTTTGTATTTAAAAAAAAAAAAAAAAAATCGAACTTTACTGATCCCATATTTGGGAAATTCTTGTGTTAATATGCTGCTTGGCCCCAACAGGCACCAAGCACATGATTCCTCTGGGAATCAAACCCAGGACTCTGCTCTCTGCTTCAGAGGCAGGCGCGCTAATTGCTACACTATGGAACTGATACCAAGTACTAAAACTATTTTGGGTTTGAATAAATTTGCTATAAGCTCAAACTATGAAGAGAAGTGAGAAATTCAACTTTTGAACGGAGCAAAAACCAACAGAAAGTGAGCAGAGCTTCTTAGATCTTTGGCTGATGAGAACTGGTTCTTGTAGAGAACCAGCTCCAAACGGTTATGACTTGTTTAACGAGTCCACAGGACATTTGCTTACTGACACTTGGTGACCTTTGACCTCGCACACATGCTCCCTAATTTGGCGTGTTTACAGCGTGGTGTTGAGGCAAAAGGTCTGAAGTACGGGTGAATTCCACGAAAATGACACGATGGACGTTTGACAGTGAGTGTTAAACAGTAAGATAGTGGAGCGATACCTACAGCGTGGAGACACTATGTTAATGTAAGACTGATGTTCCGTCTTTCATACACTACACAGCAAACCACAGCGCTGTCTGTTTAAAGTATTCCTGGTGACATCAAACTCAAACTCCTGTCTGGTGTTAACCTTTAGTGACATTCGTCCACCGGCTTTCACTACAGTGAAATAATGTCCATCCGCTATAATTAAATTTAGATAATGAAGATGAGTTTACGGTGTCTCCAGTCAAGTGTGTCACCAAATCACTCAGGTGGCGTCACCATCAGATTCTTTTTTTTTTTTACTTTTACATACTATTTTACTACAGAAAGTGTTTCAGCGAGATTTCAGCGTCATCGTAATAATGACAAACAAATATTCAGAGTGCTGCACATACAGAACCGAATTTAACATGTTTAACATGTTTGTTATTTTTAAAAAAATGCATTTGTACCCAGGTTGATAACGCAGGCTTTTTCTAATGTGAACATATTCATGTCTGCAGATGAAAATGTGATGTTTTCAGGCAGTTTTTTGTCTTACCAAATCAAATTCCAAATATCAATGCACACTTTACATAACTAAGTTAATACAAACAAACCCAATATATTTTATTTCCTAACTCAACAAGACTGAACTGAATCAATGCGTGATATCGATAAGATCAATAGATCCAGAATTGGTCAATTCTTATCAAATATCATCCCTAAATGTTGGTTAAACTCGTGAACAACTAACTTGTTGCGGTGTAAATGCATCATTTTTTATTGTGTCACACCACTGGTAAAAATACTCCTCTTGGCTATTGTGTGTCTTATCAAGGGAATCAATGTATTAATGTTTTCTTGTCTTTTAACTATTGTTTTTGTATTTGGTCATGATTAGTCTGAAGCTCAATTTGTTTCCAACAAACCGTGATAAAACCGTATCGTGAACCAAAATTAAATCGCGAATCATACCGTATCGTGAGTTAATTCGGTATCAATATCTTCTGTGCCATTTTGTATCTAAACAAACATATCACGCAGTAACTGAACTAATAAGACCTTGAGCGATGTCAGCACAACAAAGGTTTTTATCACACTATTTCTTGAAACATGTGGAACTAATAACAGCAGATGTGGAATCTGAGACTGCATGAGACGCAGCATGACAGCAACAACACTCGTGGTGGGGTTTTAGTCTTTTAGTCATTTGTCTGCGATGCTTTTGAACTTCAAGAAGACAGATACCTATGCCAGGCTTTAAAATGTGAATGTAAAAACATCTCATCTGTGGGCTATGTCCACATTTGCTACTGTAAAAACATGGCAGCGCGTGTTTCCTCCAAAGGCTAAAGGCTAACGGCTAATGTTAAACAATCTTCCCACCCACTGTCCAATACTTGCACATTAGCGGATTA